TCCATCCATCCATCCATCCATCCATCCATCCATCCATCCATCCATCCATCCATAAAATCCAGATCTAGATGATTCTTAACTTCCTTAAATTTCAGTGACAGAAAGACAAAGGCATCTCGGCTCATTATTCCTGCTCACACTAACCATGGGTTAAAAATGAAGAGTGACTTTAGAACGATGTGTTATGATCAATTTAACCAAAAAGGATTTCTAATTATGTTGAGTTACCAATAATCTCATTTGAAATGTCAATACATCTGTCTCAGTTGTAAGCAAGCTTGTTTTAAATAGAGTGAAGCAACGTGAATACAAATTTAGCTCATCAACAGTAGATTTCTCACAATTTTTTTTTTCTGACTTGGCTCTTGGTGGAGGAGGACGCTTGTTCTCTGTCTACCAAACCCCTCGCCTGTCTACCCTGCTCAGCTCTGTTTTCTGTCCTAGTTTGGAGCCTCTCTTCACATATCTTACTGAAATCTACAAACCGAATTATGGATCTGGTCAGCTGGTCACTCAATACAAAACATTTTTTTTTCTTCATCAAGACAGCGTAAGAGGGAACCCCTCTGTCCAGACACTACCTTTTTCTTCGGATACACAATGGATTCCTGGCAGAAGTGCAAGATTGTGTGCCTGACCTTGATGTCTGTCGAGGACATAGAAGATGCATTCTTGTTTGGATTTTTGATAACAGGATAGTACTGTTTGGAGTTGGTGGATACCTCATATCATGAAATTGGGAAGATGTCGGGGGCTGTTTTGGCCATTGTCAGGCTGCCCGGCATGTAAGAGGGGATCTGCAGAGCTATCAACACTCAGAATTAGGTGTTAAGGGAGCAGAACCGTAAACCAGATGCGATCCTTGCACAGGATAGCAGGCTGGCTGCAATTCCTGGACTCGTGACTCGACGGTGAAATGGTATAATCTTGGTGTCATGATCTGCCCTGGTAGCTCACCCTATTTGTTCATCTTACCCACCTACATTTCTATTTTATATTTGGTTCAGCCTGAGCTATCGGGGCCAGATCATTGCTTTTCTTAAGCCTGTCTGTTTCATTACATTTGAGTTAGTTCCAAGGATGGTGTCCTGGTTCCTGGCGGCCAGTGGATTGAGAGTGTTTTCATGTCTGTCTTGTCTTCTTTCATGTCCTGGTCTTTCTTCGCAGAGCCCTCAGGGGTTTGGCTTGGAACGCGGAGAAGGTCAGTTTTATAACCATAAGCCTGGCTCCAAGGAGGAGACCAGTTTATAGTCCTTCTTAAATCCTGGTACTACATCTTGTCTCTGTTCCCTCAACCACTGAGCCTGCCCGTCTGTATCTGCACCTGCCTGTCTGCATCTACGCCTGCCTGTCTGCAACTGGGGCTGCCTGTCTGAATCTGCGCCTGCCTGTCTGCAACTGGGGCTGCCTGTCTGCAACTGTGCGTATCTGTCTGTGCAGGGCTTCTGCAGCCTTCACGCTCTGTGGATTCCTGGAAGCCTGTACCCTTCTGTTCCTGTTTGGGTCTGAACTTCTGAGCAGCTGAGGACTCCTGTATTCCTGGACTGTTCCTGCCGGGTCTGCTTTCCCATGACCTGGACCGGTCTCCTGCTTATTCTCCGGGGCTGTAGCATCTGGGACACGTGGGGCGGTGCACACCACGTCTGGTTGGCAGCCCATCGCCTGGATCACACCCTTTTCCAAGGAAATGGACTGAAATGTGAAACTGGAGAGTCAGAGATGGGTTTCGCCCCGCCCCCTGCAGCCGATGCAGTCTTAAGCTCCTTAGTTTTGTTTATTTTAATAAACATTTTTTAACTTTCCTACTGACTGTCTCACCTAGAATACTCGGTCCATCTGTACGGTCTATTGCACTTGGAGAAAGTTTTAAGCTTGAATCTTGAAGCAAAAACTCTGAAGCCTGGCAGAAAAAATTACCAGCCAGCCTGACCTAAGCAATCTGTCTCTATCTTCAATTCGGCTCCCCACTGGCCTCAAGAGGCCTTTATGTTCTCAAGTCTTTTGGGAGGAAATGTAAATATGAAGCTCTGCCCTATGCCATCCTCCCTGCCCTGAAGACATCTGTGTAAAATGCTTTGTTTGTTGGTTGATGAACTGTTACATCTGTCAAGGACAGACCCAGAGAGCAGTGCCTCATGGACTTACAGACATTGATGCTCAGATAAGAGACACACACCTCTCATCCTCTTTGATGCTCATACTGCCTTCAAGATGTCATCTGTGTTTGCTCATGTGCTGGGGTTTTTGCAGTCTCAAACTGTATTCTGCTAAGGATAACGTATGAAATAAGATTTTTTCTGACCTATTGTGATCCTCATCTTTTGTTTTTCTTACAATAAGGGGAGTGTTTTTTTATGAAACCTCGTCTCCACATGTGTAATGTCTGTGAAATGTCTTTCTCAATGTTTAATCTTTTTGAACGGGCTGTAGCAAAACTAAATTTACCTTTTAGGGATTAATACAATATAAATTAATTTAAATGAACTGAATTGAATCAGAAATGAACGCAGACACTATTTATGTCCTTACACAGCTTTGTTGGAGGCTTTAACCACTGGTAGGAGCCTCAGAAGAGCCTCTTCTAAAGCAGAGTATTTATTAATGTTAAACACATCCAGATCATCTCCTGATGATACTAAGATGAAGCCAAGAGCTGAAAACTGGGCAGGAGACAGTTTATTTGTGGAGACACTTCCTGAACTCAGAAACTGTTTGATCTTCTGGACCACAGAACGATCCTTCAGTTCATTCAGACAGTGGAACAGATTGAGGCTTTTCTCTGCAGACACATTCTCACTGATCTTCTTCATGATGTACTGAACTGTTTCCTGGTTGGTCTGGGAGTTACTTTGTGCTTGTGTCAGCAGACCTTGTAGGAGACTTTGATTGGTCTGCACTGAAAGTCCCAGGAGGAATCGGAGGAACAAGTCCAGGTGTCCGTTTGGGCTCTGCAGGGCCTTGTCAATAGCAC